GGTTCAGATTTTCCCACATCTTTGCCAACATTTGTTATTTTCTGTTTTTTTTTTAATTTTTAATCTTAGTGAGCCTAGTGGGGAAACTAGTGTAGTTTTAAATTGCACTTCTTTTATTATGAGTTAAGCTGGACATCTTTTGATATGTTTTAAAACCATTTTTATTTCTTTTTCTGTGAACTGTTTATCAATATTATTTGCCTGTTTTTAAATTGGGCTGGAGGTCTTTTACATATTGACTTGTAAGAGCTGTTTCCATATTCACTTTTAGTTGGAGATATTTTTCCCAGTCTTGTGTCATTCTTGGAAAGGCTTGCTCATTTCAACATTTTCTTTTTAAGCCCCCCACCTCCAGTTATTTCTTTTAATACTGCTATGGGCTCGTTTCTTATTTTTAAATCTTTAGTCCGTCTGGAATTCATTTGATGTAAAGTGTGAGGTAGTGTACCCGATTGCCCCCAAACATTTAAATAATCCATCATTTCGTCACTGCTTTGAAATGCTACCTTTATCATTTATCAACCTAATATCCTGTCTTCATTACTTCTTGCCCAGACCACTGTAACAGCTTTCTAGGATTACCATAATTCCAATCTGTCATGCACACTATTGCCTGATTAATTTTCCTCATACAAGCTCTGACCAAAGCACTCCTTTATTCAAAAGCTTCAGAAGCCCTACCCGATACTGCAATTGAAATTAAGGCCCCATTACACTCTTTCATAGCACCTTGTACTTTTTCTTCCTATCACTTCTCAAGATTTGTAGTTTTAATAATCTGCATGATTGTTTGACTATTGTCTATCTCCCCAATAATCTTGAAGCTTCACGAGAGCAAGGGTAATGTGCTCACCACATATTCCGGGTGGTTAGCATTGTGCCTGGTACTTAGAAGGTACCCAGTCCATGTTTGTGTAATGATAGGTTTCCCTGTGCCTGCGGAATAAAGTAGTAACAACTGTAAGATCTGATTCCAACTTACCTTCTCTTAGTCCTCTGCCTTTGGATGAAGTCAAGCTGCTGGACTTGCTGCCTTTTCCTGAAAAAGCCATGGGTTCTCCCATGTTTTTTTTTCTGGCTTACACCATTCCTTGATTTTATTTTTCTACTTGTGCTCAAATTACTCCCTCTGCCCCTGCCACCACCAGCATTGTTGTCTTATCAAACTCCAATTCATCTTTCAGTGCTCTGGTTGTGGGTCTGCCTACCTCCGCCACTGTGCCACTGGACTGTGGGTGCCTTGAGAGCAGGGCCAAAATCAAACCAAACCCGTTGCCGTTGAGTAGATTCCAACTCACAGAGACCCTAGAGAACAGGCTAGAACTGCCCTATAGGGTTTCCATGACGGTAATCTTTATGGAAGTAGGTTGCCACATCTTTCTCCAGCGGAGCGGCTGGTGGGTTCAAACCACTGACCTTTCAGGTTAGCAGCCGAGTGCTGAACCACTGCGCTAGCAGGGCACCTTTGAGAGCATGACAGGTCCCTCTAATGTGCCCCCAGGATGTAGCATAGCTCCTGGTCTCTAGGAGGCGCTCCTGGTTACACATCTCCATCTGTTCCAGGCTGCAATCTCCTTGACAGCAGGCAGTATTCTTTATATGTGTGCATCTGGAAACCTTGCCTTCTAATCACTAGGGCCAATATCAGGGCAGGACTTTTAGTTGGCTTCAGGAATCATCTGGTAACCTAATGAATGTGTCTGATTGTGCTGTGAGAGGCCTGAACATGAAATGACGGGACAGGGCAGAGACTTCCCTACCTTTCCTCCTCTGTGCCCATGGAGTTCCCTCGCCCTGTCTCCTCCTACACAGTGAACAATTACCGCCCCCCACTCTCCTCCTCCTCATCTGAGCAGAGAGAGCCCTGACTCTCCCTGGAGGATAATCCCTGCTTGCCTCTTCCCTCTTCGAAGCCCTCTCGAGAGGAGGTTGCTCAGTTGGCCACACTTCTGGGTCCTGGCACCAGGAGGCAGGGTTGCCATGCCAAAGTTCTTGTTCTCCCGCCTCATTCAGAAGCACTTTCTTCGTGAGTGCTTGGACCATTCCCCTCCACCATCTGCTCCCCAGCTACATCCCTGTCACCTCCATAATTCCTAGGCAACCCCTTCCCCTTCCTTACTGGCCCCTGACTTGGGCTCTTCCCCACCCGAAGGGCTGCTGGCATCCTGGGGGTTCACCGTGATCAGGAGTGGTAAGCTGGGGACCAGGCACTGAATCCAGCCTGCTGACCTGTTTTGTTTGGCCACAATCGTGTTTTTTGAGGGCTCTAGCAGGGAAAGGACCCTTGAACCCTACAGCCTTTTAGTGTCTAGGTTCCTTCAACATCCTGCTATTCCATTTAGACCCCACTCCTGTGCCTACACCCTGCCCTTGTGGCCCCTAAGAGCTTTCCAGCTTCTAAAATCCATCTGCTGACAGTAGCTTCCCTCTTACCCCTTCAATTTCTGCCTCTCCCCAAATCCTGTTCTTTTCTTCTCCTCACACAGAACTCCATGTCCTGAAGACTGCCTTGTTCTCACCACTTCCCAGGCTTCACATTCTTTTCTGTTTTCCTACCCCTGCCGCACTATCTCAAAGCCCCCGCCTCGCTATCTCCCGCCTTAGATGAATCCAACCACCCACCTTCAGTGAGATCATTCTAAAAATCAAGGTGGTTAATTATTTGCTTTCCTACAAACCTCTGGAGATTATCCCCAAGCCAGAGGGACTGGTGATTCTAAGGATAAGGGTTGGCTCCCTGCGTGGCCTAGAAGGCCCTGTGTACTAGGCCTCCCACAAGCTTCTTCAGCCTCTCCACCCACTACCCTCCACCAGCCATATGACCCTTGTCGTGGATTGAATTGTGTTGCACAAAAATATGTGTATCAGTTTGGCTAGGCCATGATTCCCAGTATTGTGTGATTATCCACCATTCTGTCATCTGTTGTTGTAAATCCTGCCTCTATGACGTTAATGAGAGGGGATAGGCAGCAATTGTGTTAGTGAAGCAGGAGTCAATCTACAAGATTGGATTGTGTCTTAAGGCAACTTCTTTTGAGATATAAAAAAAGAGAAGCAAGCAGAGAGACAGGGGGACCTCATGCCACCAAGAAAGCAGCGCCAGGAGCAGAGCACGTTCTTTGGACCAGGGATTCCTGAGCTGAGAAGTTCCTAATTCAGGCGAAAATTGATGAGAAGGACCTTCCTCCAGAGCCAACAGAGAGAGAAAGCCTTCCTCTGCAGCTTACGCCCCGAGTTTGGACTTTTAGCCTACTATAGTGTGAGGAAATAAATTTCTCTTTGTTAAAGCCATCCACTTGTGGTATTTCTGTTACAGCAGCGCTAGATAACTAAGACAACCCTGCATGTTCAACTCCTGTTTTTTAGCCACTGCAGGCCCTTTCATGAACCTGCATCTGTGTAGCAGATTTTCCCTCACACATTTTTCCCTTGGCTGACTTCTAACCTTATTTTAAAACCTAATTCTTTCTATGGGTAGACATATCTGTATGTGAAGTCACAGCAAGGCCTGTAAGCATACACGATAAACAGATAAACAGTTGCTACTTCTGTGGAGGGCAAGAGCGATCAGGACTGAGGGAGAGTTGGCCAAAGGGTACTTTAGCTTTATCTGTAAAATTTCTACTTTTTACAAGGAGATTGTATCATGTATTTATTACTTGTGAGATATAAACACAAACAAATGAACCAGTTCAATACCAGAAAGTCTTCCCCAAACTTCCCAGGCAGATGGGAGAGGTTTCCTTTCCTGGAATCTAATAACACTAACCCCTCCCCGCTGTGTGATAGGAAATACTGTATTGTATTGCAATTTGTTTGTGCCCATCTTTCCCTCTTTAGAGGGGGAACCTCCCAAAGGTACTAACTTTATCTGATTCATGCTCCCAGTGCCTAACAAAGTGCCTGCCAGAGAATATGCTCAGGGAGTGCTGAATCCAATGAATTGCCTTTGCTAGTGGACTCCTCCCAAAGACCTCAGCAGGGGACAGAGCTGATGCTAGTCCTGAGAGGCTTTTTGGAGTAGTTTTCAGTGTTCAAGGAAGACTGTCTCTGGGAGTCTGAAATGTGGGCCAAGGAGTTTGAAAGGCACTTGGGTTGTGGCAACACGAGGAGGGGGCTGCATCAGGGCCCACAAGGCCAGGATCCAGTTCAGTGCTGCTGTCTCATTACTTGGCATGCTCCTGATGCCACGGCCTGCTCAGCAGTTAAGTCTGAGGATATATCCTCAAAGATTGCACTTGTCAAGCCCAGCCCTGATCTGTATCTACAAGATGGAGAGGCAGCAGGCTGTCCCCATACGGGGAGGGTCAGAGAGGGAGGAATTAGGGGACGCTTAGACTAGCTGAGTGTTCCAGACTGGCTTGGAGGGAGGTATTGAACAGCTGTCTGAGGGGTTTGAAGAAGGTACCTAGAATCCCAGTGTAATGGTAAGGATCTGTAGCTTTTGTCATTTTCCAGAGAAATCGGAGCCCCCAGGTCAGAAGGTCCTTCTTAGGCCCTATTTATTGCCTATAGGCAAAAGGTAAAGGAATGGTCTTAGGGGGTCAATTGGATTGCAACTGGAGAGTAGATGGAGGTGGCAGCTTCTAGCGTTGGTGAAGTATGTATCAGGTGGCCAGTGCAATCCTTTAGACTTGGATGTGCACGTGGTGAGGAGGCTGCAGAAGGGTTTTGACCAGTCTCTCTCCCAAGAATGCCCCTCAGTCAGCTCCTGTATTCAACCCCAAATAGGACAGTGTTCCTGGGGTATTAGGGCAATGAGGTAGGCAGGGGGTAGGTACTTGGACCCCTGAGATAATGGCAGGGGTGGTGGCAGCCAGAAGCAGGGCTGCAGGGTTGTGGTAGGATTCAGTGAGCAGCCTTCCCCACTTCTCCCATCCCTTCTATCTCCTTCTGAGCTATCCACCCCCAACACCACCATGGGCCTCAGAATTACTAAAAGGACATCAGACCAGACATACTACACACCTTTAGACCTCAATGACGATCACTCCCAGTCTGCCCATCTCTTTGTAAGTAACTTTTATTTTTTATTTACAACAAGATTGGTGGCTTTATTCCTCCATCTTAGGGATACTTGGCATCAGCAGCCAGATGGAAAGTCCGCAGTGAAGTCAAATTCATTCTGCCCCAGCCACAGCTCTGGAAGTTCATTGGCTCGGTCCAGTCCCAGTTCTACCACCAGTGACATCAGCACCTCTTCATCCACTGGGTCTGAATCGATGATAGCCGGGCTCTGGGCACCAGTAGAAGGTGAGAGTGACCCTGCCCCTCCCGCCTGAGCCCCAAAGCCCCAGTTTTGCAGGGATCCTGCCTCCCCGGGTTGGCCTGGAGTGGTGGTGGCCATCCCATGATACTGGCTATTAAGTTTCTGCAGCTGCATACTGGCCAGCAGGTGAGGGGCAGGGTGTAGGTTGAAGGGTGGGGGTTTAGTGGGAGGGGTGGCAGTAGGAGAGCCTACTGGAGATGGAGATCCTGAGGAACTAGTGGGAGCCCCACTAGCCTTGGTTCCATTTGAGGCCACCCCGGGGTAGTGCAGAATGGCCACTGCTTTGCGATCTTTCACTCCCAAGTTAGGGTAGGCCAGAGAGCTCATCTCTTGGTTGGCATCCTATAAGACAGAGAAAGGCATGCCATAGTACACCTGCCCTTGGCTTTTTCCTTGCCATTCATCAGGCCCAGAAGGGCTCTACATATGCTTTGTCTGAGGCTAGTGGTGGAGAGGTAGCAAGAGGGCTTCCCAGAGAGCTGGGGCTCCCAGCTTGAGCATCCTTTTGCTCCCATGGCTCTGAGCACTGAGCTCAGTCCCAAGTTCTAGTGCTTGGGCACCTGCCATCCTAAATGGGTTCATTACTTTTGTCTCCCTTCCTCTGACCCCCAGCTCACCATTCTAAAAAGGGCATCTTGTTGCCCCTCTCCTCAGCTTCATTTTAATATTTTCAATGGAGTGGTCTTTTTCCAATTCTACTTTTCTGCTCCCTTCCCTGCCGTCTTCAACACCTCTAAAGAGCTCAATTTGACTACATTTGGGCAAAAGCCATTCTCATTCTCACCAGAGAAAGCCCTGCTGTCTCCTCTCTACCAAAGGACATTAGATACCACACCTAGGAGGACTTAGCACATGACGCCTGACAAATCAGTCTTCCCATGCCTCCGTGTCTCCATCTGTAAAATGGCAAAAGTTACCTCCTTCACAGGTGAGGTGCCACCCTTGACATCAAGTGCAGGCCTCGACATAGCTGGCATTTCAGAGCCTTGGCAGAAGTTGGATAAATTGGTGGGAGGTGATCCTGTCAGCTGGAGCTGCTGTGCTGTACGTGAGGGAGAAGACATGATAAGGGCAAAAGGCTTTACCGACCAAGAAAGCACTAGCAAAGCTTGAAGCAGAGCAACTCCACACCATTACAAGGCAACAATGGTGACAGGGTTAGACCCGAGACCAGAGACAACCTGAGCAAAGGGAGGAAATCAAGCTGGAACTTTTGCCTGGGGTAGGAAAGGTGCTTTATTCAGCCAGGTGCTGCCCAGACAGCCAGCTGCCCACATCACCAGGAGGGAACACACATGACTGTTTCCTCATGCAAGTGATTTCAGAGCCCCAAGTTGGGGGGAAAGGAAGTGGGGAGGAGGATGGTGCTGCTCCTGGTTCTGAGGGCAGGAACATCCCTGAGTGAGTGGCAAACTGTCTTAATAGGCAATTAGTACCAGGGCTGGAGAGCTGGGGCCTCCATTGGGTCAGGGAGAAAGTGAGGAGTCAGGGCAAGGAAGACCTAGAAAGCTTTGGAGGCTGCAGCACAAGACAGGGAAGGAACAAGTCCCCAAAGCAAATGTCGTACGGCTCCAAGGCCCTGCCTTGGGGCATGTCTGTGAGAGAGCAGGACTGATCAAGGTGTTCTGGGAGCTCTGAGGCAGCCAGAGTCAGAGAGCAGCTAGGAATGTCTCATTTTCCTCCATGCCTCAAGGCTCCTCCAAGACTGTCCCAGCATTGGGCTTTCCCAGGACTTCTGCCCCAGAGCTCTCAGCCCAGCTACACTCATCTGTAGTGACAGGTGGTCATAATTCTTTCTGGAGGGAAAACTGAGACACAGAGAGATTCAATGGCTTTCCAGTCAGGTAGCAGTGGTTCTGGGACCAGGATCTAGCACTCCTACGCCCACGTGGCTCACCTGACCAGTGGCCAGGTCATCATACCTGGAATGATTCCAACGGCTTCAGAAGAAATGATTCCTTGGCTCAAGTGCCAAAGGATAAGGAGATGAAAGAAAAAGAACCCCCCAAAAGCAGAAAATAAAACACCTCCGCAAACTAACGTTATTTTCCTAGAAGCTTGTTTTAAAAAAAAAAGCCCCATATACACTAGCTGCAACTGATCAATTAGAGTACTATTTCTCTGTATCACCTTTGCACTTACTGTGTGTGGGGGGAGGGTGGGGCAGGGCATAAGAAAAATAGAGAAAGGGGGCAAAAAAAGAAAACATGAGGAAAAACAATCATCAGTTTCCGGGTCCCCCACCACTGCTTGATTGGAGCCCTGCTCCTTCAAGCCAGTGATCACATCCCTCCTTCTAAATCCACATTTTCTTAGGGAACTCTAACCCCGTTGCGGGGGTGAGTGGATTCTGACTCATAGGACCCTATAGGACAGAACAGAACTGCCCCGTAGGGTTTCCAAGGAGCGGCTGGTGGAGTCGAACTAGGACCTTCAAGATCAAACAATTTTCGTGTCCTAAGAAAAATGTCTGGGGGTCCCTGCCCATCTATTCCCGTTCATATCCACTCTTCTCTCTCCTTCATGCCGCCTGGTACTGGAATGTACAAAACAGCAACAAGAAGAAACAGAAAGAGGAGAAAAAAAGAAAGAAGCAGGAAAAAGAGGAGAAAAAATTATCTCTGTTCTGATTATCAGTTCGTGAGGAAGACTATTTTACCATGTCTCCCCCTTCAGGGTGTGAGCTCCTCTAGGCAGGGCCCTGTCTTCGTTCTGATCTGTGGCCTCTCATCATCATCCCGACCACCCGCCCAGACCCCAGGCCCAGGCCTGTACTCCGTGCCTGTACTCCGTAGGCGCTCAGTAAGTGTTATTGAATCCAGCTTGAAGAGGCAACCACATTTCGATCTGAATTCCTGATCCTGCTTCCCCAATTTTCCACCTCTCCCCTAACCCCACAATCCATTCAAGGGCAAAACTTGGCAGCGCCGAAACGTCCCAGCCAGCTCTCCAAGCCTGGAGCCGACCACTGCGAAACGGCGGTGAGAGGCGGCTGGGAAATGCAGAGCAACAAGTGTCTCCTCGCGGACTGGTCCCTCGCGGCTGTCGGCCACCAGTTCCCGGTCCCACAGCCCGCCCTTAGCTTCAGCCCTCTCCTGCCTAGACGATGGTGGGGAGGAGGGAGGAAGGAGAGAGGAGAGAGAAGGGTTGTGTCTTTCACCTGTTGAGAGACCAAAAGTTAAAATGGCACCAACCGGATGGCTCCATCTCGATTGGTATTTTCTCACTCAGGAGAAGAAATTGTAAAATCCAGACAGCACTGCTGCTTGACTTGGACGCGCGCTCTAGCTAGACCAGTCAGTTTTGCCACCTGAAAACTAAAGGCCCGTTGTTTGCAGACAGCTCGGCTGCCCTCCTCGCCGCATCTCAGGTGCAGCCGCCGGAGCTGGAGGCGGCCGGGAAGTATCCCTGCAACATTGGCGCGAGCTCCCAGACCACCTGAGACCCGCAGAGACTGTTCCCACAAGTGCTGTATTAGGAACTGATCGTAGAGACTGGATGGATAGGAGGGGACGGATCTTTGCCTAGGTGGCGAGTTTGGAGCCGGGGCGGGGGTTGTTTCCGCGCGCGGGGGCGCACTCCAGCGCAGACCACTCCCGCGCCTCACCAACATTTACTGAGCGCCCACTGAGCCCCCTACGTGGTCCCAGGCTGAGCCTACCCCCTAGCCAAACCGCCTGCGGTCAGTGTTCTAACCCCGCCTAAGAGAAGAGTAAGAGAGCCTCAGAGAGGTGCGGTAACTTGCCAAGGTCACAGCGCTAGAAAGTGGCGAGGCCGGGATTCGCAGTCTGACTGATTCCAAGTCCGGCGTTCCGCTGGGCAGGGACTCCGCGAACAGCCCGGCCAGACCGCCCTCGTTTATAGGGAGAGGGGTGTGTGCATGGGGGGTGGGGGTGTGCGTGTGGGCGTGTGTGCGGGAGAGCGGAGGTCGATTGGGTAGCAGAGACAAGTTGCCCAAATTCGCTAACTCCCACCCCGCAGTTCCACTGAGCTCGGCCTGAAAAGCCCCTCTCGCCTCCAGTCCCGAACGAAACCTGAGTTTTGTGCAGCCCCCGAGCCGGAGCGTCCAGATGTCCGGGCGATTAGCAAAGTCGGTGGAAGCCAAGCTGAAGAAAGCGCGGGCGCAGGGAGAAAGGTGCTGCCGTCTGCCTGGGAGAAGCGGCTATTTGGCCCGGCTGGCCGGCAGGCTGGCGCGCGGGCAAGCGAACCGGCGCGCGGGCGGGCGAGCGGCCGCAGCCCCTCCGCCCCCAGCAGAGCAGCTTTCGAACAGAAAACAAGTCCCCCGGAGCCCTCCGGCCCGCCTGGCCGCCTCCCGGCCCCGCCAACTGCTCCCATGCCCGCTCCGCGGGAGTCCCCGGCCCGGCCCGGAACCCTGCCCAGCGCCCTACCCCGCGGCCCGGCTTACCTCCGCGAAGCCGCCTGCCCCGGAGAGAGGGAAGCGCGCAGCCCGGTGAACCGCGAGCGAAGCGGCGGAGAACCCAATCCCTGACACGCACGCCGCCGCCTCCAGCCGGTCGCGCTCGGTGCCCACGGCCGCACCGGTGGCCACCCGACCGCGGGGAG